CTAAAATTAGATTGTGATGATAGTAGCACAACATTGTAAAGTTACTAAGAATTATTTCAGTGTACACTCAGAATGAATGAAGTTATGGTATATAAACTATATCTTGATAAAGCTTTTTTAAAAAAATATGCTTTTATTGATTTTAGAAAGGAAGGGGGGGAGAGAAAGAGAAACATCCATAGGCTGCCTCCCACACACACACACACACCCCCACCAGGGATTGAGCCCACAACCTGGGCATGTGCCCTGACCAGGAATTGAACCTGTGACCTCTTAGTGCATGGGATGATGCCTAACCAATTGAGCCACACCAGCCAAGGCAATGAAGCTTGTTTTTTTTAAAAGATCATTGACCATAGGTCCAACAATCACACTCCTTGGTATTTACCCAAAGGAGTTGAGAACTTTGTGTTCACATAAAGCCCTGCACTTGAATGTTTATAGCACTTTACTCATAATTGCCCCAACTTGGAAGCAACCAAGATGTCCTTCAGTAAGTGAACAGATAAATAAACTGTGGCACATTCAGACAGTTGAATATTAGCACTAAAAAGAAATGAGCGAGAGTGGAGTGCTCCTTCTCTGACATACATCGGCAGTGCTTCTTGCGGAGATGCGAGACCGGGGAACTGCAGCCATGTCGGAGGATGATGTAAATCCAAAAGGCCTACCCTCTCGCAGATGCCCACCTCACCAAAAAACTGCTGGACCTCGTTCAGCAGTCATGTAACTACAAGCAGCTTCGGAAAGGAGCCAATGAGGCCACCAAAACCCTGAACAGAGGCATTTCTGAGTTCATTGTGATGGCTGCCCATGCAGAGCCACTGGAGAGTATTCTGCACCTCCCGCTGCTGTGTGAAGACAAGAATGTGCCCTACATGTTCATGCGCTCCAAGCAGCCACTGGTGTGGGCCTGTGGGGTCTCCAGGCCTGTGATTGCCTGTTCTATCACCATCAAAGAAGGCTCACAGCTGAAGCAGCAGATCCAGTCCATTCAGCAGTCCATTGAAAGGCTCTTAGTCTAAACCGGTGGTCTCTGCCATGCTCTCCCACTGACTCCTCCCCCTGGGGTTGTGTATCATATTGTCTGTGTTAGCATGTAGTATTTCCAGCTACCTTCTGTTGTTATAAAATATTGTAGTAGTAAAGAAAAAAAAGACATGGAGAAACCTCAAATGCATATTACTAAGTGAAAGAAGTCAATCTGAAAAGGCTATATATTATGATTCCAACTACAGTATACGACATTCTTCTTTTTTTTTTTTTTTTGAGAATTTTTATAAGAGTTTATTTGAGCCAAACTGACATGTGCAAGGGAACAAGATCTCAAATGTTCAACTATATGACATTCTTGAAAAGGCAAAACTGTGGAGATGTTACCGGACATGGGACCTGGCCCTGCGCGGATCTGCCTAGGCCCAGCCAGTAGTCTGTGGGTTCTTGACTTCGTGCAGGAAAAATTTCACAACACGAGTCCAGGTGACTATGAGGAAAGGTTTATTAAAGCTGGGGACAGTAAAACAAGAAAAGGCTTAGCACAGAAGAAGCAACAGGAGAGCCTAGGCTGGGCTGCCCTAGCTCTCTGGAAAGTCAGAGAAAAGGGGGCCTTGGGGTCAGGTTCAGGGGTTAGCATGGGACAAGGGGCTGCTGTCCATTGCTCCCCTGGTTGCAAGCCTCATGGGGTTCTTTAGGGTTTAGGAGATGCATGCCTGTGGGGGAAGAGGTGGGAGAAGAGGAGAAAGGGAATGGCAGGGGCTGCTCCCTAGAGGGAGAGCACAGGCTGGGTCCTTGTCTTGAGGCTTTATCTTTCTTGTAGGCGGGAATCTTAGGGGAGGTCTCAGGGGAGGGTTTCAACAGAATATTCACCAGTTTAGGTGTGCTCCTTCGGGGTCATGGTCTCCATAGATTGGTCAGTGTCAGGGCAGGGGGTGGTTAGTCATTGCAGCTGGTCCTGGTGTCGCCCACCTAGTTTTGCTGCTTTTCTGGGTCCGGAGCTGAAATACAACAGGCCTAGATGCTACTTCTAGGGAGGTGATCGCCTGTATCTGCTGTAAATTGCTCTGCCATTTTGTTTAACTATCTCAGTTTCCCTATTTCACTTGTCCTGGCTTTCTGGCCTGTCTCAGAGACAGTAAAAAGATCAGTGATTGCCAGGGATTAGAGGGAAGAGGGGGATGAATAGGCAGATCACAGAGGATTTTTAGGGCAGTGAAACTATTCTGTATGCCTTTATAATAGTGAATACATGTCATTATATATTTGGCAAAACTCATAGAATGTACAACACTAATGTAAACTATGGACTTTGGATAATGATGATGTGTCATTGTAGGTTCATCAGCTGTAACAAATGTGCCCACACTCTGGTGAATGCTGATCATGGGGGCAGTTGTGTGCATGAGGGGTTACGGAATACGTGGGAATTCTCTGTATTTTCAATTCAACTTTGCTGTGAACCTAAAACTGTTCTAAAAATAAACTCCATTAATAAAAGAAGAAGAAGAAGGAAAGCCCTGGCTGGGTGGCTTAATTGGTTGGAGTGTCATCCGTACACCAAAAGTTTGCAGGTTTGATTCCATCAGGGCACATGCCCAGGGTTTGGGCTCCATCCCCAGAAGGAGGCGTACAGGAGGCAGCTGATCAATGTTTCTCAGCAATGTTTTTCTCTCTCCCCCTTTCCCTTCCTCTCTCTCTAAAAAATCAATAGAAACATGGTTTTAAAAAAGCTTGTACTGTATGACTCCATTTATATAAAACTCTAGAAAATGCAAACTAATATATGGTGACCTAATTCGTTCACTTACCTCATTTTCTTGTATCAGCTCCATTTTTCCTAACACTTTCTCAGTTCCCTGACTGCCTCTTTATGTTAATATTGGCCCTGAGGAAAACCAGAGGCTTAGGAAGGAAGGCGTGATCTCACTTTGCCAAGGGGAAGGTGAGGCCAGGGGATCCTCCAACCGCGAAACTGGTCCTGGGGTCAGGATGTAAGTAATCCTCGATTACCGGGAGGTGTAGTTTAGGATCCTGTGACTTGCAGACGGCGAAGATGGCCCCAGAACTCCACTTCCCAGGAGGTCTCGGGGCCCGACGCCATGGGACTCGGTTGCTGCCCGGATGTGGCGCTGAGCCTGCCGCCGGGGCAGAGCTGAGCGAGAGACTTCGGGAGGCTCTGCTAGCGGCGGTTGAACCTCGCAGGAGAACGACCACTTTGGCCCGGTAATCTATTGAGAACCCCCAAGTGGTGCCCACCTCCGCTCTTTTCTCAAGTCCCCCAGTCCCTGGGACCTTAGTATATGAGTCACTCCTCGGGTGGAAGAGATCTGAGGGTGGCGTGGGCTGTATGTGTAACAGGGAAGGGTGAGTCAGCTCTATTTGTGAATCTGATGTGGGGCACCCCTCTGTCCCAGGCTCGAGTCCAGATGAAGCCCCAGAACCCACCACCCTTGGTGGAGAGGGATGTGAGAGATGTGCCCAGCGGGCTTGTGGTGGCTATTGATGGGTTACTGGGATTGACTCTCTGGTGAAATTGCCAGGCACAGCATAGTCACTCCTGGCTCCGGGTTGAGGAGTGTTCACAGGGCTTCCTTCGGCCCCAGGTGTCTGAATTCTTTGACTGCACCTGAACCAAAGAAATCAGTGTTCAATGTGAAAAAGCTCCCCTGATTTAGTGAATAACTAAGTTGCAGAAAGTAGTAAATAAAAATGGGGGTCTTCTGAATTGTTTTGGCTTGAGAAATAGTGCTTTCAAGTGGATTAGACTGAGACTTGCTGAAAGGGTGAGACTTCGAGGAGAATGAGCCACAAACAGTAGTGCTTTGATCTGCATTCTTGTTTTCACTGTTATGGGTCTTTTATATTGCATGTCCAACCTAGGAGAAAATTGACTGCTGCGCAGACTGTACATGTGAAGAAGGATGTTTTGTCAGATGAGACGGGAAGATTTAGAAGAAATTGTAATTCCAAGGTTAACAGTGAATGACAAACGTGGAAGGGAGCCTTCTGGGGTGCTGGTGCCTGCAGCTCCAGGCCTCCCAATTTCCAGTCCTAGAGGCATCCTAAAGATCTCTGAGCTGCTCTGATGTCTACTTGACAGGGCTACTGCGAGGTTAAAATAAGAAAAGATGGGTGCAAGTACTTTACACAATGCCTATAGCAGGCTCTCAATTTTTAGTTTCCCTTTGCTTCCCCATAGGGAAACTTTTTCCCCTCTCTGAGCCATGCATTACTGTGTACTGTTATTTGCCTTTTTGTAAGTCCTGCCTTTACCACACGATGGTAAGCTTCTAGCATTCTTTTTCTTTGTTTCTACCCTTTTTTAGTTCCTCCTAGCAGTTCATTGCCCATAGTAGTACTTGGGACAGTGAGGATAGTGGTGGTGATGGGGAGGGAACAGTATTGTGCTGGATCCTGGAACTGAAGTAAACAAGCTTTTCTCATATAGGTGATGAATAGAATATTTGCCTTTCTCTTCTAACTCCTAGCCTTCTCTCAGAGATTCCAACCCTTTAAAAAAGTTTTATTTTTAGTATTTTTAACCAATTTACATATACAGTAGTGTTAACTATGTTTACATTGCTGTGTAACAGATCTCGAATTTTTTTACCTTGCAAAACTGAAACTCTCTACCCATTAAACAACTCTCCATTTCCACCTCCCCCAGCCCCTGGCCACCACCATTCATTCTACTTGCTGTTTCTGTGAGTTTGACTCTTCTAGATACCTCATATAATAGGGATCATGCAGTATTCGGCTTTTTATGACTGGCTTATTTCCCTTAGCATAAAGTCCTCAAGGTTCACCCATGGTGTAGCATGTGAAAAGATTTCCTTTTTCTTCTTCACATTTTTTTTTTTTTTTAAATATATCTTTATTGATTTCAGAGGAAAGGAGAGGAAGAGAGAGAGAGATAGAAACATCAATGATGAGAGTCATTGATCGAGCCCGCAACCCGGGCATGTGCCCTGACCGGGAATCGAACCCCGATTGCCTGAATCCTAGGTCGAAGTTCAACCGCTGAGCCACACCCTGCCGGGCTTCTTCACATTTTCTTTATCCATTCATCTATTGATGGACGTTTAGGCTGCTTCCACTTCTTGGCACTGGTGAATAGTGAGGGAATGAACATGAGTGTGCAACTATCTCTTCAAGATCCTGTTTTCAATTATTTTGGATGTATTTTTAGTATTATTTTAAAACTTTTTAACTGTGGAGAATTTTAAACATATACACAAGTAGATAAAATATTATAATGAACATGCAGGCTGAATAAATGAGTCAGTTGTACCAAACAGCCTCCCAAAATACCTAGGGCTTTTGCTGAACCCTCCCTTTCACAGAGAGCTTGTTATGGGTGAGAATATTTTGAGTTTTGTTTCAGACCCGAGATGTTCTAGCTGCATTTCATCATCTAGGCCCTCAGCCATCAGTGGGACTTGAGTGCCCAGCTGAAGGCCATATATACCAGGAGTATTGGTAGATATAAACAAGTAGAAATCAATGTAGATGCCTTTTCTCAGTTATAAAGATGAGGAGCTGAGCTTGGGGTGCAAAGTGGTCTTTGTGCCCAAGAGTTCTGCTCTGATTCTGCAACTCCCTTAGATGCACTATTGTCCTGAAAGCACTCACTTTGAGCAGAGATGTTTGACACTGGATGATACCTAGAAGAAGCTGAGAAGATGAGTTGTACAAGCATTGACTGCTATAGGAATTCAAAGGAAAACTGAATTAATCCAGACTGGGAAAGTCATGGAAGGCTATTCTCAAGGAATGTAATAGTAACTTTGCCCTGTTTCCATTGACCATGTGTGTTTGATCCTTATGTTTATTCCTACATGGAAAAAGACAGAGCTGCTGGTCAGCGAATACCCTGGAATGGTAGCCTACTAGTCCTGAATTGCGCTCTGGACTTTTAGCTGTGGGACCTGTGCTACCCAAGGCTCCTAGGTGGAATGCTTCCCTGATCAGAATTGGCTGTGTGGAAAGAGAACTACCCCTAGTTCATCTGTGTGAAGCATACTCAGAAGGCCAACTTTTCTTTACCATGACCCAAAATGAGTTGTTTTATTTTGTTTTTGTCTATGATACGAGCCTAATACAGACCTTTGCCAATAAGACAACAGGATGGGGGATGTGTCTATTCTCTCAAATTCCCAAGGTGAGGAACTAATTGATTCTCAATATTTGTTTCTATAATCAAATACATATGACAATTTATCCCCTTTCGTTCATGTTCTGACACTTGAAGAAGTTAATGCTATAAAGATTGGGTTTGAAATTAGGGCAATAGGTAAGAAACTAAAGAAACTGGAGTGCTGGGGGGACAGGTAGGACATTGACAGGATATTAATATGGGTGTTTAAACACGGGAGTTCATAGTAAACATGCTTCTTGGAGATCATCTGTGCCATGCCATTAACCTCCAAATACGTTATTCATGAAGAAATGGACAAGAGTATGGTGCTCTTGTGACCTGTAGTTTTACTCAGATAAGGTGGGAAGGGATGAGACCCGTCTTGTCTAGCATTGTAATCACATTACAGAACTTTTGCCTTCCCCAGCAGAATAAAATAATATGTAGACATAGTAGCTTCTAAAACTTAATAAGTACTTCTTATGTGGCAGGCACTAACAATTACTGCACCTGCATTCTTTCATTTAAGCATCAGGTTAAAAATTTTCCCAAGTTCACAAGGCTTAGGATAAGACAGGACTGGTTTTTGACTCTAGGTGGTCTGACCTCAGAGCTTGGGACTCTTAACCACTTCTCTATACAACTGATTCTGACTGGCCCACCTTTCATTCCAGTAGTGTCATTTTTTCAGGAACAGAGGTTCCTTTGCTGAGTTTATAGCCACAGACCCAAGGTGAGAGCCTTGTTTCTTTTGTTTCAACTTTGGGAACCTTCTTTCTATACTTTTTAAAAAATTAGTTACCATTTATTGAGCATCTACTATATTTTAGCACTTTTGGTACAATATACTCAGACTTTATGACAGTGTAGCATAAATACCTATGTATATGAATGGTTTTTAATCTTTTTTGGCTCACAGCCCTTTTCAAGAGTCTGATAACTTTGGATCTTCTTTCCAGAAAAATTCACTTATGTGCATACATATGATTGCACACAACTTCAGAGGCGACTTTTAGGACCTACTGAAGCCTATCTTCTTGCAGTCCACGGTAAGAGCTCTTGCCCTATACCACCTTTCCCAGCTGATTCTTCTATAGTGTGAAGGGAACCAGCAGTGGAGGGGGTGGTCTCACCTATTCTCTTTCTCGAGACAAACATTTATGACCTTAGGCTCCCTTAATTAACCAAGCATCTGGGAACATTCTTCATTTCTCTCTTATACATAGGACTCCAAAGGGAAGAATGCAGACGATCAAATGTGTGGTTGTAGGAGATGGGGCTGTAGGTAAGACCTGCCTCCTCATCAGTTACACAACAAATGCCTTTCCTGAAGAGTATATCCCCACTGTCTTTGACAACTATAGTGCCCAGACATCTGTGGATGGCCAAATCGTCAGCCTGAACCTGTGGGACACAGCTGGTCAAGAAGAATATGACCGACTGAGAACTCTCTCCTACCCCCAGACAAATATCTTTGTCATTTGTTTTTCCATTGGCAACCCACCCTCTTATGCCAATGTGAGGCATAAGTGGCACCCAGAGGTCTCCCATCATTGCCCCAATGTACCTGTTCTGCTGGTAGGCACCAAGAGGGACTTGCGGAGTGACCTTGAGACAGTGAAGAAGCTGAAGGAACAGAGCCTAGTGCCCACAACTCCTCAGCAAGGCACATCCCTGGCTAAGCAGGTGGGGGCTGTGAAGTATCTGGAATGTTCTGCCCTGATGCAGGATGGGGTACACGAGGTATTTTCAGAAGCTGTCCGTGCTGTGCTTTACCCTGCCACAAAGAAGATCACCAAAAAGTGTGTCCTCTTATAGCTTTCGGAGTGGTACTTTGGGACTTCACACAAGGGGAATAAGGGGGGACTCTTTTGACAGCATTTAACAATGCCCACAGAGCCATATGTCTCTTCTTCTGGAAACCCTAGGGTCCCAGCTACTAGGCTTTTGGAGGAACGAAGACATACATGGCTGCTTTGCAGTTTGTTCTGAACCTTTTGGAGGAAGTTTAAGTGTGTGTGTGTCCCATCAAAGTGGTAAAAAGAACCACCACCGAGCGCTGTTCTCTCCTGTCCTGGCCAGGCTACAACTAAGTAGTTCTTTGTAGACTTTTACTTGTTTGCTTTTAAAGTTCAGCTTTCTTGGCTGTATTTACCATTTAGCAAGTGCCTCACAGAAGGACAAGGCTTTCCAATTTTCCAATCATTGCCTTAAACTTTCTGATAGAATTTTTTTTGTTAATCCTCACCTGAGGATATTTTTTCCATTGATTTTCAGACAGAGAGGGAGGGAGGGAGGGAGGGAGGGAAACATCAATGTGAGAGACACATCGATTGGTTGCCTCCTGACCAGGACCAGGAATTAAACCTGCAACCCAAGTATGTGCCCTTGACTGGAATCAAACCCATGACCCTTCGGTCTGCTGGGTGATGCTCTAACCACTGAGCAACACCAGCAAAGGCATTATTGAAAACCAATTTGTGATTCCTGGGTGTTCCCAATGTTGACATATATCTCCCAATTTTGAGATGAGACATTTTGCAAAACTGGTTAAGCAGTATTTTCCAAAGTTCTGTGACATGGTAAAAGATGTTCCTTAAAAGGGTTCTGTGGTCATAGAAGTCAGGGACCAGCTATTTAAGTAAAGATGAAGAGGTTCCTCTACTGCAGGAATCTGTAACTTTTAATAAGTATGTAACATTTCCTGAACTTTTTTTTGGTCTTATGCAACACCTATTAATATCTCTGGAAACAGTTTCAGAGATGCTGGGTTAGTAGGAACTAGGAATTCCCATGGAGAAGGCTATGGGGAAAAAAGCATAATGTGGCCCTCTTCATGCCTTTGAAAGTAATGTCAGTCACAGACTTGTTATTTTTCCTCTTCCATCCTCAGAAGCTAGGTTTGGCACCTGGTCACGATAGTGCATTGGATGTGGGTTCTGATGGTCAGATCTTCTATGAGATTCTAATAGCACTATGGGCCTGGTGAGGTGGAATTAACAATCCCTCTGAAAAGCTGTGCCTCTGAGGCTTCTGTGTGGCTTTTTCCTTCGTCACCTTTCATTTTAAGGAACTACTACTGAAGGCCCTAGCTGCTTTGTCTCAGTGGTTAGAGCATTGGCCTGTGGACTGAAGGGTCCAGGGTTTGATTCCAGCCAAGGGCACGTACCTCAGTTGCAGGCTCAAGCCCTGGCCCCACTGGGGTATGTGCGGGAGGCAACCAATCAATGTCTCTCTCTCACATAGATGATTCTCTCTCTCTCCCTTCCACTCCCTGAAAAGCAATGGGAAAAAAAAAAAAATCTCCAGTGAGGATTTAAAAAAAAAAAGGAACTACCACTGAAGCTTAACCCCCTAAGTAAAACCAACCAACCAACCATCCAACCAAAATGTTGTCAGTCATTGTGAGGGAGTTTTGTGATTCTGAGACTTCTCTTTTGCTGTCATTCCCGAGTTACTATAAAAGCTACCTTGCTCTCTTCCTGTTCTTCCCTCCTCTGTACATCTTGGGGGATGTGTGTGTGTTTGTGTGTGTGTGTGTTCAGCCCCGTGTGCCTTGTGAGGTCTCAAGAGAGTTGGAGTTTGTTGGTTCTCCAGCCCGGGGCTGGAGTTGCTCAGCCTGGGGCAGTATGAATCAGATTCCTTCCCCCAGTGTGCCCACTTCTCCATAGTTGTATTTCTGACCTTTTGATATGGAAGAAAAACTTACTTCTCCACCTGGCAGCTAGCTGTTGACAACTCCATTGTGTACATATCCTCTCTTCATGCCAAAATAACATTGGGTTTTTGAGTTTGGCAGCTAAAAGGATCACATACCTCCCTACCTCCTCCTGTGGTGGGTGAAGTGTCTATGCTTTGCTCTGCTATAGTCTTGCTGTGGCTTTCTGACAATCTTACTCTTCGAGAATCTAGAACCTGGAGGTCAAGGAGATGTGATCAGAGCAGCCTCAGGCTAACTGAACCTCCTGGATAGGGTTGCCAGAAAAAACAGTGACACTTTACATGACAGAAGGAGACTAGACCAGGTGGTGAGCACACAATGGGGTATGCAGATGTTGTATTATAAAGTTGTACACCTGAAACATGTTATTAACCAATATTACCCCAATAAATTTAAATTTTAAAAAATTAAAATAATTTTTTACATATAACTTATTTGTATGTATCATGCAATATTTGGGACATACACTAAAACATTATTTGCTTTTTACTTGAAATACAAATTTAATGGGGGCATCCTGTATTTTTATTTGCTAAATCAGGCAACCTTACTCTTTGAGAATCTGGAACCTGGAGGTCAAGGAGAAATCAAATGTTGATAGAAGATAGAAGATTATGTCAACTCTCTATTCTTCCTTTTTTTCCTTCTGGTTTCCTTTTTCCCTCACCAGGTACTCAAGTGTTTAGTTTTACTTTTCCTTCATCACTTGTACCCTCCACTTCATATAGCACTTTGTTGGTATTTCTACACCAGTTGATTGTCTAAAGCTGTGGAGGAGCCAGGGTGGATAATATTGTCTGGCATGTGCCGTCTATCTCAATTTCAATGTATTGTTTCACGTTGGGTGACCCAGGGCTTCCTGTGTGGGGTGGCAGGGATTCTTTATGAACAATATGTTATTAACCGGAAGAGAGTGAGGGTGGCCCTCCTCAACTAAGACACAGGAGCACTTTGGAAAGTAGCTTTGCTGTTATAGAAGTATGGTGACTAGAAGAGTCAACTGTGGGCATGAGTGCCCCTTTGCCCTGTGTAGAGCCTGAGTTTTCCCTCAGGCAGCCAAATGAAAGCACTTATTGCTCATGTATTCCAGTCTCGGGATGTTCTGATTGATGCTGCTGGGGTTCTCACAGGACTTCATGGTGAAAGGGGCTAGAAAAATGGCTGTCACCTATGTTTCTGGGAACTTTGTTTAGCTACTGAAATATTTTAAAGTGGCTTTTCAGAAAATGTGTTTACTGATTTCAGAGAGGGAGAAAAGAGGTAGAAACATTTATTGGCTGCCTCCTGTACACCCCCTATTGGAGATTAAGCCCAAAATCTGGGCATGCACCCTGACATGGCAATTGAACCAGTGACCTCCTGGTGCTTGGGACAATGCTCAACCAATTGAGCCACACCAGCCGGGCTAAGTGGCTTTTAATAGTGCCCCTTGCTGTTCTTTGCCTGGCCAATTCCCAAATGTAAGCCTAGGTTTGGTTTGGGCAACTTGTGTCCTCTAACAAATGGAGGTGTGAGCCGCAAGACAGAGTGGTTTTGTATTGGGCTGATTTGATGATCCTAAGCATGCACTGACATCTTTTTATACTTAAAAGGAACTTGTATGAAGACTAACATGCTAATATCACTTTTAAGTTATTCATAATGGATGGTAATAAATTTGTTTGACTTTATTGGGTCTGTTGCGTTCTAAAAAGCAAAGTAATTCCTCACCACTACTCCCATTCTGAGTGGCTTCGAAATGATTTTTAACTTGCAAAGGACAGAATAACTGTAATTGTTGTACTGAACATTGTACCTATGTGTAACTGTACTTATTTTTCTACATCAGACAATCAGTGTAGGGAACTGCCTGCCCTGCTAACATTGATTCTCTAGTTCTGGCCCCCGCCCCTCATCCCCAGCATTTAGCTTCATTTTCTGGTTTTCACTGATGACTAGTTTGCTGTAGGAGATTTTTCTCATTTATTACAGTATATTCAGTAAACAATTATCAAGCTCCTACTGTTACAGGCATTACTGTACTAGGGGCTGGAGTCGTAAAAATAAGACATATCATTTAATGTTCTTTGCTTCTCCCAGTTATCTCAGGAAATGATTCTTCCTCTGTTTGTTATAAAAATTAACTAATCCTGGCTGGTAATTGTATACAGTATAGTGCTGGTGCACTATTAAATGCACTAGTAAGGAAAAGCAAAAACATGTTTTGTTTTGTAAATAGCCTTATTGAGGTATAATTTATATACCATAAAATTTACCCATTTCAAAGTACAATTTAATGATTTTTAGTAAATTTAAGTCATGCAACTATCACTAAAGTTCAGTTTTAGAACATTTCCATCACCCCGAAGAGACCCTTCCTGTAGTTAATCCCTGTTCCTACTCCCCAGCCCCAGGCAACCATTTATCTACTTTGTCTTCTCTGAACATTTCATATAAATGGAGTCAAACAAAATGTGGCCATTTGGAACTTGCTTCCTTCAATTAGCATAACGATTTCAAGGTTCATCCATTTTGTAGCACAAATGGGTACTTCATTTCCTTTTATTGCGGAACAATATTCCATTATATGGATATACCATATTTTATCTACTCATAGTTGAGGGACATATGATTGTTTCTACTTTTTGGCTATTACGAATAATGCCGCTGTGAACTTTTGCGTACAAGGTTTTGTGTGGACATGTTTTTAATTCCACCTATGAATGGAATTGCTGGGTCATATAGTAAGTCTATGTAAAACTGTATTTTGAGTTAAGAATGGCATCTTTAATATTTATAGTATCTGAAGTCCCCTTCCATGTCACATTCTACAAGCCTCCACCTACCTCTCATTGTATCTGCTTTTCCTCAAGCACAAGGATCCATGAGGCAGTATAAGGTACATTAAAAACATATTCCAGCCCAGCTGGGTGTGGCTCAGTGGTTGAGCATTGACGTAGGATCCAGGAGATCGTGGTTTGATTCCTGGTCAGGGCACATGCCCGTGTTGCGGGCTCAATCCCCAGTTGGGGGCGTGCAGGAGGCAGCCGATCCATGACGACTCTCTCATCACTGATGTTTCTCTCTCTCTCTCCCTTTCCCTTCCTCTCTCTGAAATCAATAAAGATATATTTAAAAAAACGAAAAACATATTCCAGCCATGCCCAGTGTGGCTAAGGGGTTAGAGCATCAGCCTGTGGACTGTAGGGTCTTGGGTTTGAACCCCGGCCAACCAATGTGTCTCTCACAAAGATGTTTCTCTCTCTCTCTCTCTCTCTCTCTCTCTCCCTCCCGCTCTAAAAAGTCAATGGAGAAAGTATCCTCCAGTGAAGATTAATGACAACAGCAAAGTGAGGGAGAACCTTGTGGTATTGAATTTGAATTGGAGCTATTAGTATAAACTCATTACTTTTTTAGCTCTCTCTCCACTGAAAGGGCATACAAGCAATGATGCCCCAGTTTCTAAATACCATTCCCCACTAAAAGGAACTAGGGCTCCTTGGAGAAATGGCTTATTTCAGGTCCTGGCAGAGAATGTACAAAGCAAGCCTGGAACGTCTTGTG